TTGTTTATTGGACATCCAAAATTTATCCTCCCAGTGATTATTATCTTCAGTCATGGTTGAGAACCACTGCCCTAGACAAGGTCACATACATGTGTATCAGTTATGTATCACACATGTGAGTATAATTGTGTAACTCGTTACCTCCAAAATGGGGGGAGAAAAGAATATAAAATGGAGTAGCACTTAAAAAATAAAGGCAATGTTCTGTATCTTAAAATGAATTGCAGATACCATTATGCTTCATAGTTGTTTTTATATTATACATTTTCTTTGGTAACTATTAATCATATTAAAACATTTTTTACAATGGCAATGGAGAGTATCTAGTTGAGGAAGAAGGGTTGGCTATTCAAGAAACAGTACAAAAAAATTTCCCTTTACATAGCCCAGAAAACACAGGGTCAATATCTGAATCTAAGACTAGACCAGGTCATCACTTTGCCGTAAGAGACCATGAATTCAGGATCACTGTAAGAGACATGCAGATTAGTGAGTCCTCGCAACTCAGTACAAATGTCAGATGGAGGCAATAAAACTGACATCCACTGGTACTAAAAGTAGCAGATGTTTCAGGCAAAGCACGTGACTAAGTAAAAAATAGAATATTCCCAGCAGACCACTCAAAAGATGCTCAGCATCATTTATAATAGAAATGCAAATTGAAATAATAAAATTTTTCTCACTAAGAATGTAATGGAAAGAAACGTTCTTTTCTAGCTTTTACCAAATTTAAAAATGCAAAACTCCTGTGGTCTAGTAATCTCACTGTTAAAAATCTATTCTATTGAGATGCCAGCTGGAATGTGCAGTAACATTACAATGATGTATATATTAATAAACAATCACATTCAACCTACATGTCCATGTTAATAAATTAATTAAACTATGGAATATATGTGTATACATACTTACACACACATACTGTAGAATACTATGCAGATTTTACAAAGACTAATGCTATCATATATGTATATACTTACAAATATGTCTACTATATATTTTTTAGTTAAGACGCTATAAACCAGTATGTATAGTATTGTTACACAAAAAAATGTATGAATGTGCATGTCAGGGTGAGGGAGGTTCCTGTTTAGGTATATATAAGGTATTCAAGGTATGTATGCATTTAAAAAGATTCAAAGTAAAAAAAAATAGTTTTGAAATAATGTGCATCGACATTCTGAACATTGACTCTCTAGAAAATGGGATGGGAGAAAATTTATTTTTATTTCTGTACTCTTAAAATTAAGTTTCAGTCTGTATCAATCTTAATTGTATTTCTATGCCCTGTAGGATGTAAGAGAGCTAGGCAGTCTCTTTTCATTTTATTTTAAAAATTAATTCCTCAAAAACAAAACAAAACAAAAAACAATGGAACTGAATATTTATGGGCAGAATAGGGAGAGTTCCAAATCTCTTTTAGATGACCAGAGCTGGCATTAAAAGGACCACATTAAGCAATGTGAGAAGAGCACATTCCTGTCTGTGAGCTGCACACCTACCCTGTGTGCCGAATCCCTCAGTGTAACAGAGCGACACAATCATCATCCTTTAATTTTTCCATCTCTGTACTAACCATCTCTTCTCTCTTTCATTTCTTCCATTTCTCTATCAACTCTGACTGCCACAGAATTGCTCTGCGTGGCAAGGCACCTGAAAAAAGTGTGTCTGTGTGGATCCAGAGGTTAGTAGTTAAGGGGCAGTTGATGGCTGGATAAATATACTTTGTTCAGGATGCTCCTTTGGTCTGGTCTTGTCAGTGCATTTGCAAAGCTTAGTTCTGCGACCAAAGCTAAGAGGTTCTGCCTGAGAGAGCTCTGGTGCACACTGAAGGGACACAGCTCGCTGCCTACGGTTTCACAGGCAGGAGGACATAGTGGGCCGTGAGTCCTGTGTCTACTGCACTGTGGGTGTAGAACCCTGAGCAAGACATTTAATCTCTTAGCTTCTTTTATCTCATGTGTGAAAGGGAGAATATAATAGCCTCTAGTTCATGGAATTGCTAAGATTAAGTAAGAAAATGTGACCAGAATGAAGCACTCAATAAACCTTATAATTATAATTATTAAAAGACTGACTTGGTTACATCCATGTAGATTATTTCCAGATGAATACAGGCTCTAAGCAAACGTTCTTCAAACTTCAGAGAGAAACACATTAGTGAGTTATTTAATTCATTTAGTGGGTAGTAGTCAACATTGAAACGAATTAATGGAATAGAATAACAATTAAAAAAAACAACAAAACACAGAAGACATTGCATACAAAAAACTAATGGAAAATTCATTGCTTACTGTGGTCTGAGGTTAAATGAGTTTGAAAAACAATGCTATAAGCCAAACAAATGTGCAAACAGAAACCCTCCCACAAGTGTCTTTGCAATTCTACTCAATTCTGTCTGCCTATTTCAAGTAAAGTGAGCAAAAGCTAAAGAGCTTTGGAAACCTGTTGTAATGATAGATCTGTTTGATAATGCGAGAATGTGCGCTGGTGATGTGAGAAGTCAGGGGCAGTGGTTGGAAGAGCCAGCTCATTCAAACATGTGCTGTCACTACTTCCCAAGCATATGGGGGAGGGGTAAAGATTTTCAGAACTAGCCAGGCCTAGGATTTGGTTCTTGTTTTTGTTTGAAACTTTTCCTCTTAATTCAAGTACGGAGACTGTGACGGAAAGCCTTTAAGGTTCCTTTAAGTCTATAAAACTGTCACTTAAAATTCCTGCTTTTAGTAGGTAATGTTTGAGGAGCAAATCTCATAAAGTTTAGTGAGTGAAGAAAGTGAAGTAGTTTTGAATTTTGTTTTCATTTTTCATCCTAAGTCAATGTTTATGGATTTTAAAATTCCACTTCTGTTTCTTTACAAATAATTTTTGCTTGGTACAATTTATAGTAGCTAAACACAATGGAAGTACAAATAATAATAATTTAAAATACATGAAAGAGAACCAGCCAGAACTAGAATTTGGTTGCTGGTACTGAAATTTTTAGGGATCTTCTATCCAGGAACAAAGTAATCACTAACTTGTGGGCTCTACATTTTTATTTTTTCTGGATACCATTTAATATGGAGAATCCATGTATAAATAACTATGATAATGTAACTGTATATATTCTCGGTTTAAATTATTTTATTTACTATTTCCTTCTGTAATGTTATGAGCCATTGCTTATAAATAACTTTAGTACCAACAGAATTAGCCACCTAATATTAATCAGAGAATAAGGTTATTTAGAAACTATGACTCAACATAATATCATGCTGCATTTTTTTTTTTTCTCTTTGTATCATGGTTTCAATAGAAATATGTCTATAGTGTTAATTATAAAAATTGTAGAAATTCCACAGAGAACTCTGTTGGAATCAAAACCATACACCCTGGACCGTATTATCTAATATACAACAAATCACAATTTTAATCACATTAGTATCTGAAAAGAAAAATAGAAAAAAAAATGTAAAATATGTGTGCATCTGTATATAGTTAACTAGATAAATATATAGGTACAGATATAGACACACACATAGCTGTTACCTCTCAAATATCTTTCATAAATATAAAGATTTACTTTGCAATGAAACATCTATTATTTCCTCCCAGGAATGGTGTTTTCAGGTTAGTTTGATGGTTTCAATAAGAGGCCTCGGCGCCTGGGAATGTTTTAAAATTTGGATGATTGCTTGGACTAACTCTGAAGATGAACAATGGAGAGGCATTTAATTAGTATATGATCACTTCCTTAGGTTATTTCTGTGATACTCATAGACAAATCCCTCTCAACCACTTGCTCACTTTAAGACTCTGGACAAATTATTTAAATTCCTAAATCTCGCCCTGGCCAGTTTGGCTCAGCGGTTAGAGCGTTGGCCTGCGGTCTGGAGAGACCCGGGTTCGGTTCCCACTAAGGGCACGTACTTCGGTTGCAGTTTGTCCCTGGCCCTGGTTGGTTGTGCGGGTGGCAGCCACTCGATGTGTCCCTTCACGTCGATGTTTCTCTCTCTCTCTCCCTTCCTCTCTCTCCCTCCCACTCTATCTGTACAAAAAATGGAAAAATATCCTCGGGTGAGGATAAAAAAAATAAAAATAAAAAATAAATTCCTAAATCTCAGTTTTCTTCTTTATAAAAGTGGGCCAATAATAACTTTAGTGTGTTTCCCATCCCATTACAGCTAGATTAGCTGACATATTAAAGATAAGGGGAGGAAAACTAAATCCAAGAGTCAATATATTATCTATAGGTTGGGGCAGCCAGATAGTAGAATATTAAATTAACAATCCCCTAATGGGTCCAATCTTGATATATATTCATTATTGTATAACCCGCTCTCACAGTGACTCTGAGGTTGGCCATGTGACTTGCTTGGTCAATGAGACATGAGCAAATGTGATAGATGCAAGCACTTGATAAGTACTTGGCCATCAGGCCTCAGCTGCTGGAAATGCTGCCTTCACCATATTGGAGTCCCACGGTCTACTGCTGAAGAGATCACAGGGAGAAGAACCATGCATACTAGCCAACAGTGCTTGCTAAACAACATCTTGTACTGCCCAGTTTCTGTTGAGTCACCAGATAGTTGTAGCTACACAAGTGACCCCAGGTAAAACAGATCATCAGAAGAACCAACAAACTGAGCCAAGCCCAGTATGCAGAGTTGTGAGCAAATATATGGTTATTTCAAGTCCCTAAGTTTTGGGGTGGTTTGTTCCTTACAATAAAACCTGATACATTTGGTTATCTGGTGGGATAAACCTTGCTGTAGATATTGAAATTAATAAATAATACTTAGGAATGACCAATAATATAAGTTAAAAACATGTAGCACTTGCAGACAAATGAGTAAAATACCAAATGCACAAAACATAATACAAAATAGATTTAAAAATGAAATAGCAAACAGTTATTTTTGTAAACAAATTTTCTGTGCTGGATTACTACTTTGTGCTATAAAGACAATAGCAAGGAATATATATCATATATAATTAAATGAATATGTATAACTTACTGAAACATGATTTTCTATGAAGCATATGCTGGAAAATCTTACACAAAGATTCTTCACTTTGTGTAATGGTCCTACAGGTGCACTGCACTTGAAGGACCGTCTCAAGGGTACTAGTGCAAGCTGCTTGGCAGTCATTGCCTCCTGAGCAAGTGAGGTCCTGCTTGCTCAATGTGCTGATGCAAATCTCATCTTCATGGCACTTTCTAGTCAGAAGCTGCCAGCATTTTGACTGAAATGTTATATAGCGCCCCCTAGAAAGAGTCAAGAAATGGAATTTGTCTCTGAATAACATTATTTCACATTAGCATGAGGTTCTTCCTCATCTCATGAAAGACTGACATGAAATAAAATGCTTCCTAGATGCCAGTACATAGCTGAAAACTAAGTTTATATGTTTAAACACCCAATAGAGAACGTGGAAGAAAAAGTAGAGAAATCTTGTGAATTACTTTCCTCTTGTGATGAAAGTCAGAGGCTAAGTTTACGATTCCCTGGATGAATTTTCCTTCACTACTAATTTTATTTCGATGGCTGATGATTCGCAGTCTGAACTACTTGGGAGATGTATTAGCAGTATTTTTTGAAGCAGAAGGTGGTTTCGGTTGACTACCAGTTGGGCCATTGTTTCACACCAAGTGATTTTAGATAAAGCTCTTGACCCTTCCAGCCAGTTTTCCCACAGGATGGGAGGCATTATACTTTTTCTTAACATTTCTTAGCAAACCAATTAGAATTTTTAAAAATGTTTTGAGCTTCTCTGACAGTAAAAACTAATTTAAAGCAAAAATTTATGAGTTTATTTAATTGCCAAGATAATCCATTAGGAACATATCCATTCATAACTTTTCTGACCATGTATCCATGCTGTACTAGCATTGAATAAAAATCTAAGTCATGTACAAAACTTTTATTTTTGAAATTTTCACAATAACAAGATATTCCTCTCAGTGGAACCAAATATTAATCTTCCTACTTACTGTTTATCACCTAAAATTACTTTATACGCTTTCTTTAATAGGTCACTATGGCATCTGCATGGAAACCCTCTGAATACATGATACTTGACATGAGCTTATTTGTCCATATGGTGCTACTCTGCTTAAATCCATAAACCATGTTATTTTCAATAATCCCATATTTTAAGTCATCTTAAAAAATCAACTTTTTATTTTTCTTTGTTTTTTTTTATCTTCACCCAAAGGTATTTTTTCCCATTGATTTTTAGAGAGAGTGGAAGGGAGGGAGGATGAGAGAGAGAGAGAAACATTGATATGAGAGAAATGCATTGATCGGTTTCCTTCCACACAAGCCCAGACTGAGGCAAGGATTAAACCTGCCATTGACTTAAAATCAAACCTGCAACCTTTCGGTGAGAGGGCTAGTGCTCAATCCGTGCCAGCTAGGGCAAGAAACAGCTTTTTAATACATTGGCAAAATTAATTTATACTTAAGAAAATACAACACATTTTTTGAGCATATAATTTTGGGGCTAGAAGAACAAATGTGTGTTTTTTAAAGCAATCATGGGTTATTTATAAGATGTTATATAAATATAAATGTTGGTTATCATTTATAATTTGAATGAGAATAAAATTTTACCTAGCCACCATATATTTAAAGATATGTGTTTTATTAAGTTAAAGTTGCATGAAACCCTAGCTGGGTAGCTCAGTTGGTTAGGGCATGGTTCCTATATGCAAGGCTGCAGGTTGGATCTCTGGTCAGGGTACATACAAAAAGCAACCAGTGGATGCATGATTGGGTGGATCAACAAATTGATGTTTCTCTCTCTTTCTCTCCCATCCTCTCTTTCTCTCTAAAATTAATTTTTTTTAAAAAGTTTAAATTGCATGGTTTATCTATCATAGCAGTGATTCATTCAGAAATTAGTAGTAAAATTTTGCAGAATGATGAATTAATGAATATTAAAGGAAATATTAAAAATCATAAAAATAATTTGGTACACATGCTGCCTAAATCATTTGAAAACAAATTTTAAATAAGACAAAACAATTTATATTACAGAAATTTTGTTTTTTGTTTGAAATGTTTTGCTGTATTATGTTTTATTTATCCTTATTTTCTTTTAATCCTCACCTGAGAATATTTTTCCATTGATTTTTAGACAGAGTGGGAGGGAGAAAGGGAGGGAAGGAGAGGGACAGAAGAGAGGGGAACATCAGTGTGAGAGAGATATATTGATGGTTGCCTCTCACATGACTCTGATAGGGGTGGGGATTGAACCTGCATCCCAGGAACCTGGCCTTGACCGTAATCGAACCTGTGACCCTTCAGTCCACAGGCTGATGCTCTAACTTCTAAGACAAACCAGCCAGGGCTATCCTTATTTTTTTTTTTAAATTTCACAATTTTCTATTTTGGTTTACTGTTCAAACAATTAAGTGATTAAAAGTAATTTCTTAAATAAAGTTGATTGTTTTTATTTTTGTTACTGATTTCTAGCAACATTTCAAAATGTAAGAGAATGTGCTCTGTGTAACATTGTGACCTAATATATAGTGAAATTTTATATATGTTTTATGACACTTAAAATAAATATGTATATTAGGAAGTTTTGCTTTTAAAAAGTAGTTAGATTTTTGCAACAACAACAAAAAAAAATAAGACGCCTAGGAATAAACTTAACCAAGGAGGTAAAAGACCTGTACTCAAAAAACTATAGGACAATGAAAAAAGAAATAAAGAAGATACAAACAAATGGAAGTGTATATCGTGTTCATATATTGGAAGAATTAACATCATTAAAATGTCTATACTGTCTAAAGCAATGTATAGATTCAATGCAATCTCTATTAAAACACAAATGGCATATTTCACAGATCTAGAGCAAATATTCTGAAAATTCATATGGAACCGAAAAGACCCCAAACAACTGCAGCAATCTTGAGAAAGAAGAATAAAGTTGAAAAGATCACAATACCAGATATCAAACTATGCTACAAAGTCACTTGTAATCAAAACATCCTGATACTGGCATAAGAACAGGCATATAGATCAATGGAACAGAAGAACACAGACCCCAGAAATTGACCCACACCATTATGGTCAATTAATATTTGACAAAGGAGACAAGAGCATACAATGGAGTGAAGTTAGTCTCTTCAATAAATGGTGCTGGGAAAATTGGACAGCTACATGCAAAAAAAAAAAAAAAGAAACTAGATTACCAACTACACCATACACAAGAATAAACTAGAAATGGATAAAAGACTTAAATGTAAGTCATGAAACTGTAAAAATCCTAGAAGAAAACTTAAGCAGCAAAATCTCAGACATCTCACATAGCAGAATATATCTCATAGTGCAAGAAAAACAAAGGAAAAAAGTAAATGAGACTACATCAAACTAAAAAGCTTATGCACAGCAAAAGAAACCATCATCAAAACAAAAATGAAACCCACTGTATGGGAGAACATATTTGCCAATGATACATCTGACAAGGGGTTAATGTCATACAACTCAACAAAAGACAAACAATCCAATTAATGGGCAAAGGACCTAAATAGATACTACTCCAAAGAGGACATACACATGACCAATAAACATATGAAAAATGCTCAACATCACTAATCATCAGAGAGATGTAAATTAAAACTACAATGAGGTATCACTTCACACCTCCTAGAATAGCTACTATGAATACATCAATGAACAAGAGTGCTGGTGAGGATGCGGAGAAAATAGAACCCTAATACATTGCTGGTGGGAATGCAGATTGATACAGCCACTATGGAAAGCAGTATGTAGTTTCCTCAAAAAATTAAAAGTGGAACTGCTATTTGACCCAGCAATCCTAGAAATATATTCTAAAACTCCTAAGACACCAATCAAAAAGAATATATGCACCCCTATGTGTATAGCAGTGTTACTTGCAATAGCTAAGATCTGAAAACAGCCCAAGTGCTCATCAATAGATGAATGGATAAAAAAGGTGTGGTACATTTATATAATGGAATACCATGTAGCTATAAAAAAGAAGGATCTCGCCCTGGCCGATTTGCTCAGTGGTTAGAGCATCAGCCCACAGACCAAAGAGTCCAGGGTTTGGTTCCCGCAAAGGGCACGTATCTCGGTTGCAGTTTGTCCCCGGCCCTGGTTGGGGTCGTGTGGGTGGCAACCACTCAATGTGTCTTTCTCACATTGATGTTTCTCTCTCTCTCTTCCTCCCTCTCTCCCTCTGGCTCTATCTGAAGATAAATGCAAAAAAATGTCCTAGGGTGAGGATAAAAAATAAATAAAAAGAAGGATCTCTTACTCTTTGCTACAGCATAGATGGACCTGGAATTATCATTGAAGTAAAATAAGGCAGTCAGAGAAAGACAAACATCACATGATATTACTTATATATAGAATCTGATGAACACAATAAACTGACAAACAAAATAGGTCCAGAAGCATGGATGCATAGAACAGACTGACAGATCTAAGAGGGGAGGGTGGTAGGGAGGATAGATGAAAGGGATTAACCAAATAATTTATATACATATCTGCATAGCCCATGGATACAGACAATAGTGTGGTGAAGGCCTGGAGTGGGGTAGGACTGGGTTGAGGGGGACAAAGGGGAAAAAACTCTTAACAATAAAAATAGGTAACTAGATTTTTTTCTAAGCAAATGCTTTATTTTACTATATTCTTAAGTTCATAAATATAAAATTACAATGCATTATAATTTTCTTATGTTTCTAAACATTTATAATTGGCAAGACATAATCTCACCTCTTAGTGTATATCTAGATTGGACAAAATTAATTGAAAAATAGTGTTTATATCGGTTTCTTTGGCTTTTCCAAATAAATAAAGGAGTTTCAAAACCTATTAAGTATTGAATAATCTGGAACAGGAACAGAGTTGTATTTTCTAACCCAAGTGTTCTTCTTTGCTACCTATACAAGCTCTTCAGCTAATAAAGAAAGTGATAAGAGGGTTAATATCCTCACTGAAGAAATGGTTTTTCTTTTGGAGATTTTTTTCCATTTGAATTATATTAGCAATAATATAGTATGGATGCTGGAAATCTCCTTAAGGCAAAATTTGCTTGAGAAAAATGACAAGATTTGTCTTTTCACCTTGACTACTAATATTGTATAATATTTTCATCACTTCTATAAAATATTCATTAAGGGACTATTTGCACGTGGTGAAAACACATTGAAGACATACAGTCCTTACTCTAATCTATGAAAGATAGAAATTACATAAGAGGAGATGTGTATATGTACATCAACAAATCATAAAAATTAAGTGCAAGATATTAAAAAATGGAGGAAAACATATGGCAACTTTTGAGTGCCTCTTGTGGTCTGGACGCTGCACCAAGCACTTTGGAGATGTGGCGAAATCCAGGAGTCCTTGTGGAGGAAAAGTACCAACAAACATATCAGTCAATCCGAGGTGTTGATGCCAAGGTGAGTTTATTTCAAGAGTATGTGCTTCAGAATCCATCATGGGACCTCTCAAGGACTATAACAGCAAATCCCATCACTTGCCATTAAAATCTTTAAGTTGATAAGGAAACTTAGATATATCATTCTTTGAAGGTTGAATGCAAAGATTTTAGGATAATGAAGTAGCATATCTAGGGCCTTTGCAGTGTTATCAGGCCAAGCCTTGTGCCCATCCATGCAGACATCTGTTATTCTTATAGGGATTGATTTAAAAAAAAGGAAGAAAAAAGGTGCCCCCTGGCTGCTTAAATGTTAAGTTGCTTTGTTATTTCGATGGATGATAGATAATTGAAATGGTAATATTCTATTTGTAATATGGGAAAAATAGTATAATCAAAGATTTTTATCATATCTCATTGAATGCAGGAGATATCATTACTTTATTACACCTGAAATCAAATATTTTGTTGGCAACTAAATTATTGTTATAATTTAATAAATGTTTTCTTGTTATTGCAATTAAGAATTATCCCAAATATGTTAGGGATATTAAAATGTGCAAAAAAGGTACATCTTAGAATCAATGAAATACAATATTTCACTGAAAAAGAACTTGGGGGATATAAATGAATGTGAAAAGTCTAAATTGCATGATAGTTTAGATACAGCGGGAGGGTGAGAGGGAGGGAGGAAGAGACAGAGAGAAACATTGACATGAAAGAGACACATCGAGTGGTTGCCACCCACACAACCCCAACTGGCGCTGGGGACAAACTGCAACTGAGGTACATGCCCTTAGCGGGAACCGAACCCAGGACTCTCCAGTCCATGGGCTGACGCTCTAACTGCTGAGCCAAACTGGCCAGGCAATATTTTTTATTATTAACATTATTTTTAACTCAAGAGAAGTTATTACTAAACCTTAAAATAACAGATAAACATTTACATGAGAGACTCAAGTAAAACTTTAAGAACTTTGGTATTCTATATGATAAGTTGAAGCAAAAAATATGTCAAGTCCTAGCATTCTGCTTAGATCTTTACCCTTTATCATATTGAATGTGTGTTATAGGTAAGGCATTGTCTTTTTTGACAAATGTTTACAAGATCTGGAGCTAATTTTTCAAGTTAGAATGACTGAGAGTAAAGGAGTTAAGACAGTTGACAGTTATCTTTTGACAAGGCCAAAAGAAAACAATTTACAAAGAACCAGCCCCTTCAGAAAGTTATCATTAAATCTCTTAGTTCATCTGCCAGAGGTTGAAGCAAGGGACAAATGTGAGACAGATCTTGCTCTGAGTTATCACACACTGAGCTCTTCCTCCACATTCAGTGTTTATTTTGACCTTTAAATGAATTTGCTATAAATGGCGTTTTATTTATTTAAATCAAATTAACTAAAACAGCCCCTGATAGAAGGCACCAGGCAAACAAATTAACATAAAGAGTTACTCAAAAAAGAAGCAAAAGATGAATTCAAAAAGTATACAATTTACTGCTAATTGTTAAATCAAGCTCCTTCAACGTGTAGCATCGTTGTTACAAATAGTTTTGGCTCATCAGATTTATTTAGTACTTTCCATGTACCCCCCATATTCTTACTCTTATTCAAAGAGACTCACTTGACTGGATATTTTACCACACAAAAGGTAAACTCCTCTTGAACATACAAGAAAATGTGTTAATGACCATAGAGAGGGAAAGAAACGGCCCCAGTGTTGGATCAGAGTTATGGTTCCCAGGAGTAGTTATCTGCAAAAGCACAGCCTACTCTCAACTAGCAGCTGGAGTGGAAGCCAGATCATTCATATCTCTGCTCAAAATCCTCCAGTACTTCTCCTTTTACTTGAAGTAGAAACAAAAGCTGTAGGGGTCCCTCTAGGCCCTATGTGATCTGGACCCCACCCCCCTGCAGGGAAAACTCTAACCACTTCTCCTTGCTCTCTGCTTGCTCTCTGCTGGCTCTCTCTGCCCTCAGTGCTTTCGAACAGGCCACACACATTTGTTCCTCAGCTCTGGCTGGTCTGTTTAGTGTCTTCTTTCGGATATTTACTGAGAGAGGCTCATTACCTCCCTCACTTCTTCTACTCTGGTAAACACTCTCTGCTGAGACCCCTCCATTTATATCGCTACTCTTTCTGCCCATTGATAACAGTCCCTTGCTCTGTTCTGCTGCTGTTGTTCATCCCCAGAGCACTCATTACCTGCCAATATAGTACAATATAATATATATTTTTCCTGTTTATTATCTGCCTCCCCCACCAGAAAATAAGCTCCACAGAGCAGGCAATTTTGCCTCTTGTACACTGATGCCTAGGTGCTTGATAAAACTTTTTTGAATAAACGAACAAAAAACTAACAGCATCCCCCTTAGATTCAAAGGTATATAAAGTTGGGAAGAGGAGAACAGGTATTTCTGACATGGTGGCAGAGACGTGTGCCGGGGATATCCAAATTGTAGTCAAACTACTTCTCCTTCCTGATCTTCAGTCTAAGACAGAAATAATTTATTTTAACATTTGAAGAGTCACCTTGTCAAAATTCCCTGACATTTAACAGCCCTCTGTGATTATACCAGAAAAGCAAATTAAAAACTGACAAACAAGATAGGTTTATTACCCAAATTCATTATTCATTAGTCTAATTTGAATCTATAATTTCAATAATGCTACTTCATGGCAACCCAATCCTGACATATTGAAATTTTTTTTTTTTTTTATTACAAACATGTTCCACATTTGAATTTCAAAAAGGAACTGCACATGTACCACAGATTCAAAAAAATAGGAATGGCCTGGCTTTGTTTACATCACATTGGATAATGGTGGGAACTCTAGCTAATGTAATGAGATCAAGTGTTAGGACTGGACTGTAACAAATAAGGTGCCGAAATGAGAAAGTAAGGTATGCGTGTTTTTACTCACCTGCATAATTCATCATTTCGGCAGCTGTGAATTACATTGAGGCAAGTAGGGGGTGGAACTGTGTTCACTGCACATGGCTTGCTGTGAAGAGCTTCTTTGGACTGCTGACAAGGTATATCAGATGGAGCACGTCACAAAAAAGCCAACATCTGGGCAATATTAAAAGGCATATTTTGATAGAAGAACCGTATGGCTGCTTGGCAGTGTTTCACATCACACAGATTTCCATTTGCTGAGCAAGCTTTAAGGTACAGGGCCAACTGAGCATTACACACCACATCCCCTACACACGTCTCTGCCACCTCCAAACAGGACCGGATCCCTTTCACTCCTGAAAGCAAAGACATGCCCAGGTCGTGAAAACGTAAACATAACGCTTTCTTTACAGAATCTGCAAAACATAATGAGACCTCTACGCACAAAATCTTTCTACCAATGTTCTGTTTTGAGCAAACGTTTCTTTTCTTTTTAGAGTTAATGTGACTTTATTGAGACCTGATCTGAATCATCTTTCACCCCTACTGGAGACATATTGTGATCCAGAAGAGATGGGACATGTTTAGGGCCAAGACTGAGCTGAAGGAAAAAAAAAATTCTTGAATCCAAGTTTCTCAAATGTAAACGATAAATCTTCAGAAATTTCATTTGAGCTGTACAGCTTATGATGAGTTTATTGGCTCAAATCAAAATAATTCATATTCCCTTGCACTTTTTATTTGGGGGAAAATCTTGACTGAAGGCTCCACAAAGTTATTTCAGGATATAAAGATGCCCCAATTCTAGAAAATGTGTAAATCCTAACCCAACACACACACACATATACACAGAAACAGTTAACCTGGAACAATCTAATTTATGTCATCAAAATATCTATAAAATGGAACCAAGATCTAGTCTTTGGTTTTCATTGTAAAGCATACCTCAGCATAACTAGAAATAGATAACAAGTGAGAAAATCACTTGCTTTCATTCATTAGTGTAAGAAATGCAATGATGTTGTGCATTTTGTAATATTCAAACTATTAAAAGAGCAGCACAACTTATTTTGTATTGAAATATCTTAAAAAAGACTAGTAATTACATTTTAAGTTGTATTGTCCAGTGTTTAGAATGCGGATCAAAATGATAAATAAGTATTCCCATGATGGGGAAGAGTAGTTAGATTCCACTTGAATTTATTATCCTCTTTCATGTTATCTAGAAGGAAAACAAAGACTTTCATGAGTGAACAATTTTCTAATTTTAATAGGAGAATGTGAGCTACATGTGTAAATGAGTGATTAAACAAAAATACATACAAGCTCATGTAACACTGTTTTAACCCTTGATACTCAAAATTAGTGGGGAACCGATGAAGAAAAATAAACCTCAGGAATATCATCCGAGTGACTTAAACAGTCCTGCTGTGAGGATTCAGTTACTTGAAGGTTTAAACAAATGCTAACGACTAGGCCATGTGCACTGAAGTAAACAAAGAGTCTGTCTGGGGAGAAAAAACAGAGGGAATATCGTCTGATCAAAAAAACAAAAACAAAAACAAACAAAAAAACCTTTTCCCAGGAGGGTCTTAATTAGATTGAAATGCAATTTGAAGACTATTTCAACCTCTGATTATTTTAGCTTCTAAGACTTCTTAGGAATGAAAATTATAGAATCAGAGAATCTTTGTGATGGAAGAAACTCAGTGGCCGTATAGTTCTAAAGTCTTTCATTCACAAGGCATTGGTTGAGTTTCCATTGGTTGAGTCTGGTGCCGCATCAAAGACACAAGTCTGCAGTTCCTGTCACAGAGCCTCCACAGCCTGGCAGGAAATACAGACATATAAACAAAAAAGATATATACACAAAGACAAAAAACAAAGTGATAGGGGAATAGTATGATCAGATTTTATTTTAAATGAAAATTCAATTTTCCCATTGATTACCAATTAATATAGTGACTTCTGTTATGGTATGTATGTCCCTCCATGATGCAGTATGTCCCTATTTATGCTGTCTTTCCAAACTCCCTGCCTGCCCATCTACTGCACAAGCATGATGGTATAATCACAAGAAAATCCTATTTACCCCCGTGTATCACAGCCTTTCCTGACTCCTTGTTTTACTCCATCTGTTCTCATTATACAGTTTTTCATTTCTCTACTGATTAAGTCTCAGCTCAATGATCACTTAATCTCTTCTAGAGTCCACTCTCCGGTGTCTCTGAGGAAGTTTAGAATGCCCCTTCCTCTCTGTTACTATCCCATATAGGAACAAATCCCAATAAGCAAATCTCAGAGAGTCATATAGCTTTTGTAACAGACACAAAAGTCTAGGCAGAACCTTCTATTATAGAGTAATATCTCTGCTTTGGAAATGATGAGTATGGCTGTGCACTGACTAAACATATGTAGGAAACTATCATTGAAATATAAATAAGTATTGAATTTACTGACTGTTATGGACTGAAGGTCCATTATTTCATAATTTCATAAGTCGAAGTGCTAACACCCAGTGTAGCTGTGTTTGGAGATACTATCTCTAAGGAAGTAATTAAGGTTAAATGAGGTCACAACAGTGGGAAACTAATCTGAAGGATTAGTGTCCTAAGAAGGAAAAACATTAGAAACCTCACTTCCTTTTTCTGTCCATGCACACATAACATAGAATGTCATATGAGGACAGAACAAGAAACCAGGAAGTTTACAAGCAAGAGAGCTCTCACCAGAAACTGACCCTGATGGACCTTGATCAGGAACTTTCAGCTTCCAGAGCTTGGAGAAAATACATTCCTGTTGTTCAAGCCATCAGCCTGTGGTATTTTGTTATAGTAGCCCTAGCAGAGTAACATATTCACTATATGTGTAACTATTACAAACACAACAGAAGAGTTATTTTAGCATGAGAAAGCAAAGTCTATCTTGGGTGTATACTATTTTATATGTTATGAGTAATGTATTATATAATTTTCTGCACAATCATTTCTAATTTCATTTGGTATATACACATTTTTTTTCCCCCAGAGGACATTATAAACTGTAGTTTAATTACTGAAGAGGAGCTAAAGGGCATTATGTCATGGGAAAACTAGATTCAATTTAACAACCAGACTTCAATCTGAGTTATAAGATCAGATACATTAAAAAAAAAAAATACACACAGTTTCTTCTTATTGATCCACTGATAACAAAATATATCTAGAATTGGTTATCTTCTCACTCTGCTATCACTCTGGTTCAAGATATCATGCATTTATTTTCTATTGACCTCATCTAGTCTCATTTATTACCTGTAAGTAAATGACCGCCCCCTGCGCCCGCCATTGTATATGCACGGCGTAGATTTCACCTCTTATGTTATGCATGGAATTTAGACATCAATAAAATCATCAACTCATTATCTTCACTTGGATATCTAATGAACATTTCACACTTAACACATCCAAAACTCACTTCTCACCTCTCCTCTGTCTCCCACCAAAGCCTCTTTTTCCTATAGTTGATCCTATTTTAGTTAATAAAAATAATGGCAACTACATCCTCCTAATTACTCAGTACAGAAACCTTGGGGTCAACTTTGATTTCTTTGATTTCTTTTTTCCCCTTGCATTTCCATATGATCCACTAATATCAAAACATGTGCAGAATCTGACAATGTCCCACATGGGTCCATCATCCGTGATCTTTTGCTGCATCGTTATAATAGCTTCTATCTGGTCTTCCCACTTGGGCTTTTCCTTCTCTTCAGTCAGGTGTAAACACAGAAAAGGATTATCCTGCTAAAGATATAAATCAGATCATGACACACCCCTGACCAAAATCCTTCAGTGGTTTCCCATATTACTCAGTTTTAAAATAATCTACAACGCCCTTCATGATCTTGTCCTCTGTTTTATATCAGATCTCACCTCCTACTCTTCCCTCCCTTGCTCTCAACTCTAGCTGTGTCCTTTTTGGTCTTCCTCAAACCTCCAGACATATTCCCAGCTCAGGTCCTTTAAATAACTGCTTCTTCTGCCTTAAATACTCTTTCCCTAGATACTCACAGCACTCATTCCCTCATTACTTCCAAGCTTTACTAAACATTAATTTTTTTCAGAGCAACTTTCTGGCTATCCTATTAAAATTACAAACTACCCACTTATACCTCTTTTTTCCCATAGCATATATATATATATATATATATATATATATATATATATACACACACACACACACACACACATACACACACACACACATACACACACACACACACACACACATATTTAAATCATTTATCCTGTTAATTTCTTCTTTGTGCCCACACTGGATGCTGTGACTAACTACTGAGATCCCCCCTTTGATGATCCAGGTACACATTTCCCCAGCTGCTGGGATTATTTTGGGTGCTGGGTCACACGGGTGCTTTCCCTGGCATTGCCCTTATCCAAAGAAAGTTGCCATGACCTGGGGGGGGGGGCATATCTAAGGACTAGTCTATTTGAGGGGGGTCAAGGATCAGCTCCCTTGCCTCAATGGGTGTGTTATCTCTGAAAAACCATTCCAGGTTCAAGCTTCCTATGGAATCAACTAAATGTGCTATGGGGATTACATTGCATTTCAATTTCTCCTTCTACCTAATCCTGTTTTCCTCACTTCCTTCTTGCTTTAGTTTCTGAGATCTAAGACCAGTACATTATCTGTGTGCAGACCTCTGTCTCAGAGTCTGCTTCCAGGGGTTTTTGTTTGTTTTGTTTAGTGCTTTATCTCATTTTAGAATATAGCCTAGGGCATGGTAAACACTCAAAAGAAATATCTAGTAAATAAATAAACAATCATCACTTACTGCTTTTATCTACTTCTTTAATATTTTAAAATCCCCTATAAAAGAATAAACTCCTTCTATGAGTACAAGGAGTCTTTTTATTTTGTATTTTATTCCTGCTGCACAGGACCTAGCGCACTGCATATGTCTCAGAAGTATTTGTTCAACAAATTGAATGAATTTAACATTTTAGCATTTGCCTCTTTCTTCATAATCACTTTTTAACATAATCATAGTATTAAGTTTTTACATTTTAATTTCCTAGGAGAAATACAGGCAGAAAATACAGAGCTAGAAACAGAAATTAAATATTCTTTAGTTAACATATTTATGATTATACTCAATGTTTCTAAATTCTTTTTATACCAACCGGAAACCATGTCCTGGTTTAATCCATCTTCATAGTCTTCACTGAAAGCTGGAACTTGCTTTGTTTGAGGATCCTGTATACAATTGTCTTCAAACAAACTCATTCAAATTTCAGTGCACTCTACTTTTGAAGGGTCATTGCATTGACAATTCCACAAGATAGTTTCTTTCAGACTTTGTTAATGCTGCACCCAGGCAGCTTCCGTCACGGGTCTTGCATTGTGCTGATTCCCTCCCACAGGTTTTCTTAGAATTCCCATAAGACAGAGTGCAGTGTTCAGATTCCTGGTAGATCTGTGCTGCTTTGACACAGTCACTTATTTTTTCATCCATTAGTGATGCATCTTTCTGAGGGAGCCACTGTGTGATATTTGACTGTGAAGTTAAATCTGAGGACAGTGCTGATTCTTCTATGGATAAAGTAAAAGAAGTGAAAAAAAAAACAACAAAAAATTAACCTATGACTTTTTAAGATGTTTTCTAAAAGGAATAGAGACATATCTTGTATAAATATTCCAATAGTCTTCCAAAAACCATTAAAAATGATTTCCAGAGTGATATGACACAAATCATCTTGAATTGTTAAAAATTGAGATATAAAACACTTTTTCATAGTTTGTGTCACCACATAATGGGAATTTTTTAAATATCTGTCCTCATCATTAACTTTTGTCTTTTTATTATATTTTGATGATTGGTACCTATACTAAAATGTTTCTCAAACTTTTTCATTATTTCTTCCTTAAGCCATTTTAGAGAGTCTTTTCATAATTCCCCTACTTTCTCATAAAATTTAATTTAATATATATGACTATATATACATATATTTGCATGTATGTGTGTGCTTTATACATAATACATTCTCAAATGGGCAAAATTTTAAAGAGACACTTTACAAATCATAGATAGAAATAGCATATAAGCACGTGAAAATATGCTCAATGTTATTATTTAAGTTAAAATCAAAACCAATGTATATTAGAATGGGGGAAAAATCAGGTGCTCTAAGAAAGTGGAGCAACTAGAACTTTTATATATTGATGGCTACATCAAATTTGAAATTTTATATGGAAGCTTTTTATAAAGTTAAACTTTATCATATGACCCAATAATTTCTTACCCATGAGAAATAAAAACTGATATTTGTACAAATCTTATCTGTGAATATTTATAGCAGCTTTATTTATATCTCTAAAAACCTGGAAACAATGTAAGTGACTTTCAATGGTTAACCAATCTGTGGTCTAACCATACACTGAAATACTCCTTAAAATAGGGAACAAACTTATACATGAAACAATAATGAATCTCAAATCATTATGTTAAATAGAAGAAATCAGGCTCAGAAGCCCATATGGTATACAATTTCTTTCATATGATATTCTGGAAAAGATAAAATAATGGAACAGAAAATTGTTTGACGAGATCACCATGCATGACTGTAGGAGTTGGACAGTGGGACCATTCAAGAGAGACGAGAGGAAAGCCTATTGTTTATAAGGTGGGAGAAGGTTGGCTGTAGAAACAGAGGTGAGCACTCTAGGTACAATAACAGATACATTCCCAAGCTTACCACTTTTCAGAGACAAGTACATAGATAGGGACAGTGAGGTCTGGAAATTGATTGCAGGAGAACTGTTTGATTTCACATACCCCTTGGTAAATCTTTATGTACCCTCATGGACATATGCAGAGTAGTGTGATTACCACTACTTCTGTAATCACAGAACTATGTTTTGCATATACTGAGATCTACAACTCACAGAATCTTAAATTGCATAAAAAATAATCAAATTATTAAAAAGTTAATAAAATTGCATAGAGGTGATTTGTTTTAAAATTGTACCTTTCTTTTCCATGACTTTAAATGTTCCCTATCTCAGTGTATTACCTGATTTAATGATGCATTTTTTCCCAAGCAATTTGTTAACAGTGCAGTAGAGGTCATCAGTGCAGAGACAATCTTTAACTTGGACATTGCTTTCCATTAAGGATTGGATGCCCAGGTTGCAGCTTGGTGAATCCTTCATCTTGCAGGGGTTACCTAGATTTCACAGTCAAACATAAAGCACTCCAGATATTAATTTGAATATAATTTTACTCAAAGTGCTTTTAAAACATTAATCTGAATAATTTATTTTTATTATTTTATTTTTATTGTTGAAAGTATTATTGATGTCCCCAATCCCGTTTTTCCCCCATTACCTACCTTCACCCAGTTCCGCTCTCCCCAGGCCTTCACCACCCTATTGTCTGTGTTCGTGGGCTTTGCATATATACATGTAAGTTCTGTGGTTAATCTCTTCCAGGGCTCCCTTTACCCCCTTCACTCTGAGAATCTCCGGTCTTTTTAACATTTTTTTATTATCCTCATCTGAGGATATGTTTAATTGATTGTAGAAAAAAAGGAAGGGGGAGTGGGAGGGGGAGGGAGGGAGGAAGAGAGAGAGAAACATCAATTAGTTGCCTTCCTTACAGGCCTCAATGGAGGATCCAACTCACAGCCCAGGTATGTGCCCTGACAGGGAATCAAATTCGAAACCCTTTGGAGCATGGAACGATGTTCCAACCAGCTGAGCCATCTGGCCATGGCTAAATATTTTGTTATTATAGTAAGATTTTCTGGGGCTGCTGCATGACGTTCATATATGTAAGTTTCTAAAGCAAAGACTATATTTTTACTGTCATTTCCCCCCAATATTTACTTTCTAAAATAAATTAAAATTTTGCATATTTTAAAATAGCTTTGTCATCACTGTGAATGCCAATTTTTGCTCTTCATAAATAATCATGGCTGCTCTCCTAAGAGGTGACCAGAATGCTCTGTAATAGTTCTTTTGTCAGGTTAGCTATTTCATTAGCTGTTTTGTCTTAACCTGCTATTTTATTTTACATGTCATTCTAAGATTATAACAAGAGATGCGTAGGTGGCTCTAAAATTACCATGGGAAATATGAGGAAGCACTCCATAAATATTATTAAATAATGAGTCTTCCACAATTACCAACAATTCATTTTCTGCTTTAATTTGAAAAGCCATATTTGTCTACCCCACATTTCTTCTTTTGCATTTTTCTGAATGAAACTACTTGAGATCATTTCATTTGTGTATTTGAGGATATTTCTATTTCAGCTTCACGCATAGGATAATTATGCTAATATTGCAATTTGCTGGTATTTGTATACTGAAATAAAAAAATATGCTCCAGTTCATGACACACTGAATGTGATATTTTAAATCATCATATAAAATGTAACAAGGCGCTTCATCATCAAAACACATAACATTGTTCTTTGTCATTATCCTCTATTCTCACTTAAAAATACTGTGCCGCTTTGAGCAAATTATGCCTTTGAAAATCTTTTCCTAAACAGTAATAAGAATGTTTGATTTAGAGAGCTGCAACTTTCTCTGGAGTATGAACAGTTCATGTACCCTGTTCAAGAGCAGGGAAGAGAAGGAACTCTCTGTCCCTTCCTCTGCCTATGTAATTCCTGCAGCTCTGCTGGTGGGGATTGCAAACACTGGCTTTGTCAGAACTACAGGTTGCTACCTCTTAATCCAACACACTCCACCTGACATCTTTTGGGAGATAGAGGAAGCATATGCCAATAGGCAAGTGTTATGAGCTGTACAGAATTTATTCTTCCTGAAATGGATGGAGAAATAAAGTGAGCCATGGCGAATATATTTCTATTTTCCCCTTTGGATTTATTTTATTGAATATTCCAGAGAGTTTATCAGGTTTTATTGTATTATAATATTCATTATACAGAATGATAAAATTATCATTATGCTAGAATATAATTTTTTAAAAAGTTTTGTCACAATACTATTTAGGGCAATGTCCTACTATATGCTCAGTTTATCTACTTTTAGTAAATGGAGTCTTCCTATAGTGTTCTCATTCAGTATTTATTCAGCTACTTGATATATTTAGAACATTTTTTTTTTTCTTTTAAGTAAGGAACAGTGACTCTCTGATCTTCACATTTTCTATCTCTCCTCCAATGTTTGGAATGTAAGACAAGTTAAAAGTAGTAATATATTTTAATTTGTTCTTGACACAGTTGGAATGCAAAATAGTATATATAGTGCCAAAATGTAGAATGCATATTAAACACTTACAAATCAATAATGCCTTTGATCATCAGAAATGCTATTTTCCCGATTTTATCATTGACATATTAACATATAAGCAAAAGAACGTTTTATTTGAAAAACTGTTGTCATGTTTCTGAGAAGCATACATATAATTTTAACATTATACATCACAAGATAAGTGAGAAAAGATAGGCTGAAATCTTGCATAAAGCTGCCCATGGTGTCAATGCATTAGGACCCTTGAGTAATTTAAAAATGCCATTTTGTAACGATAATTCACTAATAAGCAATTGTAGGTGAATCACTTGATTCACCTTTTCATGTTTGAGTATTTAGAGCAAAACTAAGTCCCTCAGATAGTGAAAGAAAATATTGAATCCTATTCTTATCTCAGTAAAAGGAAATCATTTAAATGCATTTTAAACCATTTGTTTAACCTGAAACACTGCAAGCACCTTCCATTATTCTCCATGCGTGTTTACATCCTTTCGCATCACTTAGGCATTGCTCTCTTAAATATGTGCAGTCAATGGTGTGAGAAGTGAATTCATTTTCTGGGCATAGCCCTATAGCTTGAATAACAATGAAAGAACAAAAACAAGATTGCAGTATTACAATATGGCATTTCCTTACCTCAAGTCTAAGTTATTAGTGATAACGAGTATAATTATAAAAAATAAAATGTGATGAGATCATTACAAGCCTGGACTGAATCTTAACCTGCCCTCTAGCTTTAGATCTGTATTTCTCCCATATAAGATTCTTAAATGAATGATCTGTACTTGCTCTCTCTCTTTCTTACTGCCAATTTATTTCTCAACTTATAATTTATTTTTATGACTATCACTCCATTGAAACTGCTACTTAAAATGTTCCCATTATTTTTATAACATCAAATTTAATAATTTTAAGACTTCATCTTGCCTACTTTTATCATTGGACATTTTGTTGTCATTTTGTTCTTGAAATCCTCCCTTCCTTTGGTAATACTCTCTTCTAGTTCTCTTGATTCTTACTCATTTAATATTTTCTGACCACTCGGAATCCTTCCCAGGATCCTCTTACTCTTCTGTTAATGTATATTTTTAGCCTAGGTTCTGTCCTCGTACTTTTTACACATTCTGTGGATAATTTCATGTACTCTCATGGTTTTAACTAATACTCCTAGACTGATGATTCTCAAATGTATAGTTCAATCCAGTTATTTTCTAGTATATCAGTTATTATAGATGCTAACTATTACTCCCACCTAAATGTTCCAAAGACACTTCCAGACAATACTATCTTTGATATTGTCCTCATAGTTTGACTCCCTGATGGAGTAACCTACTTCATCAGCAATTTCACCATTCACATAGCCACCCAAACTAGAAACTGTGGATTTGTCATAGATTCTTCGTCTCTCCTGAACTTCACTCTCCCATATCCATTCTTGCATATTTTATTAATTCTCATTTAGAATATTTGATCAACTTATCAGTTAATCAGTCTTCCATGTTTCGTCTATCCAGATAGGGTTTTTTTTTGTTTGTTTTTTTTTTTACATGCCCTAAATTGCCTAATGCAATATTCTGGTCATGTATCTGCTTCATCCTTTGGATGATCCCTCACAGCACTACTCTCATATTCTTCGTCATGTGCAATCTGGAGGTCCTCAAGCATTTAGTTTCTCAAATGCCCATGTTGTCTCGTACTTCTAAGCATTGGCTGTATAGTCACTAGTAGGCACACCTTTTCTTTTTCCTCTGGAATAAACTTTTTCTTGTCCCTTAAGACTCAACACAGTAATTACCTATTTTATGGAAACCTTCCCTTAATTCAATACTGTACCCCCCTTTCCTACATCCAAATAGAATTTAACACCCTTCCTTTGTTTCACTACAATTTGGGGAATTATTTAACTATGGCATTTACTCCTCTGTAATGAAAGGGTGCATTTTTGTGCTTGTCTCCATGGCTGGGTTTTAGAGTTTTACTGGGCTGACATTAGAGGTAATTTATAATTGTGTCCTCCTCATCAAACACAGTTGTATTATAGGTATTTAATAAATGAATGTTAAATTATACCAACTCGAATAGTTGTTTATAGAGGAGTTATATATAAATAGCAATAATCAATTAAATAACACTTTCTAGATGTTTACAAGTTATTTTTGGGTAGAAAAGAAAAGGTTCCAGCATTTTCTAAAATTATCAGGAAAGTAGCAATGTTGATTTAGTATATTGTACAAATTACTCAAATTGATTCTGTAAGCATGCAGACTGACACTTGATTAATCAACCCATAGAAAAATATGAAAATTACAAATGAGTTATAGAGATAGTATATTAACTATAATCAAGGGGCATTTAGCTATATCATAATCAGAGCCAAATTACTTGAATTTGTAAAAAGGTGATGCTAATTATTAATCAACTGTGACAATATAGAGTTACAGGTTTCAAATAAACCCTTAAAATCTTTTCTTTGCCCTGATCAGTTTGACTCAACAATTAGAGCAGAGGCCCAAGACCTAAGGGTCTTGGGTTCCATTCCTGGTCAAGGGCATCTACCTGGGTTGCAGGTTCTGTGTCTGGCCCCAATCAGAGTCCAGTGGAAGGCAACCAATCAATGTGTAACTCTTACATCAATGTTTCTCTCTCTCTCTCCCTCCTTCCTTTCCACTTTATCTAAAAATCAATGGGAAAATATCTTCGGTTGAGGATTAACAACAACAGCAAAAACATCTTTTCTTTTTCTTGTCTCTTTCCAAACCTGTTCTCATAAGGAGAACCTAAGAAACTGATTAGATTATATGTTCTACTTTCTGGGTCACAGTATTTGAAGGTTAGGGTCATGGGTGTGGCTCAGTCACATTTTTCTTATTGAGGGCTGGATCAGAAATTGACATATCAGCTTTCTGGTTTTTTTTTTGTTGTTGTTGTTTTTTTTTATGTTCATGGATAAACCTCATGTGTTCATGGATAACCTCATCCAAGCTCCTGTCCTAGGTTAGCAAGCTCAGAGAAAGATCATTTGAGCCCCTTGGATTCTAGCCCAAATCATTTAGATAAATCCAGTTTGCCAAACACCTTTAAGCAGGGATTTTATATCAGAAATTCAATGAATAAAAAACTGAGAATTTAATTTGCTATTGATCATTATATCTTGTAATTAGCTCCCTCAAGCAACTTATAGGCTGACTATGACTCCAAATATCTTCAGCTTTCCAAAATCTTATTCATTCCTAACTGGGATTTGTGACTATGTATTTAATCCAGGAGTTTTCAAGGATTCTCTTGAAGTACTCAGTGAAGAACAGATTCTATTTTACAGTAAATATGATGGAGAATGTTACACATTATACTTAGCCTCTTAAAGATGTAAAAGGCTCATTAGAAAATTTAATATTTTGTTTTAATAATTCACTATGTCCCATATTTCTTTGGAGTTTCCCACATAACAAGACCTATTCAGATCATGTTAAACAAGTTTTTTTTTTTTGCTTTTTGGTTTTGTTTTTTTTTTTTTTTTGGTACATGCCCCTAGCGGGAACTGAACCCAGGACTCTCTGGTCCGCAGGCCAACATTCCAACAGCTAAGTCAAACCGGCCAGGGCTAAACAAGTATTTTGATAAACTATGGTAAATGTTGGTTAAAACTATCAAATAGCACAATTTTGATCCTATAAATATTGAAATGATCTCCCTCTTTCAAGGAGCCTAGTGCTAAGGTTAATCTAGAAGTAAAAATTGAAAAGGCCATCAACTACCTTTTCACCTGGGGCCATCATGGGGTTGCAATAGATCCTGTGTGTTTTGTTATACTGCTGCCTAATCTACAGAAGGTGAACTCTCTTAGAGTTCTCTTTATCATAAAAAATAGAAACGAGAAATTACTATTATTAGAAATAAATACAAGATGCAAAATTTTGGAACATTTAATAGCTTATTTAAACAAACAAAACCTTAAAAATGTATTTAAAAATGTTTCTTATCTTAATTTCTTCAACTTAATTTATTAAATATTTTGTGTGTGTGTTTATAATTTGAAATAAGCTTCTCTCTCTCTTTTTTTTTTGCCCACAATTATGCCTTTATTCATCAATATTTACTAGTGTAGAATAAGTAGAAAATGTACTGGCTTTGGTTTAGTATATTCAGCTACAATAGTAAATATCCCTTTTTCTATAATTCAATTTATAGATTCTACTAGATGCTGAAGAAAATATAATCTCTTGTCCAATAATACCACATATGTTAAGTAGATCTCATGCATTCTACTGTAAACAGAATTCCTTTTCACCAACATCTCACAATACATTTATACTACCCAAATAAGAGGGTGATATCCACATTTTAATTCTAGGTCACAGAAACTGACTGAAATATGAAGCATTTGCTTTGCTGTTGTTTTATTCTAATAAACGACTCATATTTTTAAAATATTAACGTCTTAACATTAGGAGAGCAAAATGGTTTAAATTAATCTCATTTTTATTTAATTTCAAGGAAAAATAGATAATACTTTGAAATTTGTCATCTTATTACTTGTAAATAGATACTGAAAGATTTCCTTTCTAAAAGGTTCTCATATATATGAGTTTCATAAGTCTTGATAAATAACTCAAAGTAATCGGCTTATTCTATACAATAAAACAGAAGCAACCTGAGTAATTAATACAATTCTCACATTATGCACTTTCTGTAGTTATAAATGATCAAAAATAAGTGTATATTTTTGCAAAAGTAATAAACCGTGTTAAAATATAAAATTGTTAATGATACTTCATATCATAAACCCCTATTGGCTTAATCAAGAGTTAAGTTAGACGGAGAGCATTCGGGGCAGGAGGAACTGGTGTGATTTGGATAAACCAGAGGCATAATTCACTTACCCAGGAAAATGAAGACTATCATGCTGGACGACTTTGGCTATTCACCTGGAAGAAAGGCAGGTGTATTTTCTCCAACCACCTTCTTAACAGTAACTGTCCCGAATAAGCCTTCAGCTTCTGCTTCTTCTTCCTAAAAGCATTACTGATTCAAACAAGTCATCTCCCTATGTTGCCATTTCCTCACCCATCTTTTCTGAGCTATGAATTTTCCTTATTATGTACAAATTCAATTATTTTGTTCTGCGTGTACTGATCTTAGATATTATGCTTCCAAGAAAGCCCACGAGCCAGATACTAAGAAATAATACATACCCTGCACATCCATGAAAAGTCGTTTTTCCCTACAGCTGGAATACTCAATGGTGTAAAAAACTGCCAACTATAACCCAATAGTTTCCTAGACACTTGCGCATGCCCAGTTTCCACTTGATTAATTAGCCTCTGTAAGGCAATTTTATGTCATCCAAGAATATCAAAAAGGAGCAAAGACATCAAAGCAGCCCAGGGAAATGTCTGGGGAATTCAAGATCGACTAGTATCAAACTGACGAACTTTATCTTCCCCAGAATGCTGAAAAGTGCTGCTTTCAGTTACAGTTTCTCAAAGCCTCCAAATACAGTGACAGTGTGAGAAATTACTCCTTACTATGATGCAGAAATTCTGTTTCACTAGAGCACATCATCAACATGTGCTCATTACTTGACAACTATTTTTCTCCCAGTTTCAATGAGTGGTGCTGCTATTTGTATCCACCTAAAAATTCATATGTTGAAATCCTAAAACCCAAGGTGATGGTAAGAGTAGGCAGAGAGTTTAGAAAATGCTTGTGAGTGTGAAACCCCCATGAATTGGATAGCGCCTTAAAAAAGAGGCTACAACCTGGCTGGTCACACTCCTGACTCGGTGGATTGAGCATCATCCTATGGGCTGACAGGTCCTGGTTCGAACCCTGATCAGGGCACATGCTGGAGTTGTGAGTTTGATCCCCAGTAGGGGGCATGCAAGTGCCAGCCAATTGGTGTTCCTCTCTCACATCGATGTATCTATCTCTGTCTCCCTTCCTCTTTCTCTAAAAAAATAAAAATAAATACAAACATACTTTTTAAAAAGAGAGTTCCTTTACTCCTTCCACCTTGTGAAGACACAGCAAGAAGGTGCCAGCTATGAACCAGGGAGAGTGTCCTCATGAGAATGGGACTGTGCAGGTGCCTTGACATTGGACTTCAATTTTCAGAACTACAAACAATTATTTTCTGTGGTTTTATAAGCCTCCTCATCTGTAATATTTTTTTATAGCAAAAATGTAATGCCTGGACCAGATAGGCATAATTTATCTCACTGTATTTTGATTCAATGTTCTTCCTCTCAAGAACCCAGAATAGATCATCTCTCTTGGGACATCATGGGGCTTCCACTTTTAAGTGACCCTGAGAACTTTCTGCAATGGATGCTTAGAAATAGAAAATGCTGCTTTGACAAGAAATTAAGAAAAAAATAGGTGTAAATAATAAACTATTGAGATGAGAGAGAAGCATTTGTGTGCACACAGTTATACAATAAAAGAGATGTTAATTGCAATTGTCCATGTTTATTTTACACTAGGGGAGAAGTTATATTTTGTTTTCAGAATGCATAATGAAAAAATACAGTCTTTGGAGTCCAAAAAACTGAAATTGGACACTTTTTCCTCTATAAATGTAGGAAGTTACATATATTTACTACTCTGTAAAAATGGGCTAATTGTATTCATGGTTGCTATAAATATTAAGCATGTAAATGGGATTTATATCACAGAGATCAATAAATGCCAGTTATATTGCAACCACTGACTTCATTATTATTTAACAAAATAATTAAAAAGTCATAACATTGATCAATTGTTACCTTTTAAAGGTACTGAGTCACTAAACTTGCATTGTAATGTTATCAAGAAAATGGCTCTTTTTGATATAAGCCAACTAAAAAAGCTTAAACTAGAGAGGGCGTTGTTGGCTCTGTGGCTTCACAAACTAGTCTCAGTACATGGAGGCAAGGAGAGACCTAAAAGAAGCAGGTCACTCCAGACTGGTAGGTAACAGGTTTCCTGTGCACAGGAGCTTACCTGTGATGAGGCCTGTCTTGGGTGACTGAACGATGAGTAGATCTCTACACCCATCCACCGGAATCTTCAAAGTTCATAAAGAAGCCTTACTGGGTTCAGTCACATAGTCAGTCCAGATGGTCTCAACAACACATTATTCTCTCGTGGTTTTGTCCTTGAAACGGCTTTCACTGTGTATGTGTGTGTGTGTGTGTGTGTGTGTGTGTGTATATATATATATATATATATATATATATATATATAATAGTGTCCATTGAAGAACTTAAAAATTAGAATGAAACAGTGGTATTTGTGGTCCTTGTGTCACTAGGGAAGATAGGGTGACCATCTCAAGAGGATCAAAACAACTCCAGGAGACAGCATTGCTGAGGGTGATAATAGTTGTACAAGGTCTGGCTCTCAATCTAATAGAATCAAGAATAAATTTGTCCTTTAGGACTTTAATAACATTAAAAAAAGATCACTGCCCTGGTCAGTATGGCTTAATTGTTTGGGAATCATCCTGTGTCATGATAGGTAACCAGTTCAATTTCTGGTCAGAGTACACATCTTTGTTTCCAGTTTGATCCCCGGTGGAGGGCGTGCAGGACACAACTGATTGATGTGTTGCTCTTCCAGCAATGTTTCTCTCTCTCTCCCTCCTTCTTCCTCTCTAAAATGATAATCAATTTCAAAATCTTTAGAAAATATTATAGAAATGGAACTGTTGATCATATTGCCAATTTTTTTCATAATAAAAAGAGATCTAACTCCTAGCTAGTATATTTACTTTATGTAGGCATGCCAACATAGGGAATAGATGAAAGATTTAGATTAAGGAGAAGTAGTCCTATTCATTCTATATTTACCTGAATACTCAATGGCATCACAGTAGTCCCCAGACATCATATATTATAATGGTATATATGGCACATTGTTGCTTTGGGTAAATTGATATACTCAATCAGAGCATCCAAAGCTGCTCTTTCAGCTAAAATTGAACATCTTTGTCCTTGATTGTGTTTTTTTTTATTTATAGTTTAAATTTTGGTAATCTTTCTTCCAAGCTCTAATGTACGTAACTCTAATGTACTAATAATTCCCTTTGCTTTGACACAGATAATTTAAATATTTATATACTGGAACATCACTTATAATTGGGTTAAACATAAAAGTCAGATCATGCCATGGAAAATGTTGTTTAATAAAGCAGCTAAAATTTCTATCTAAAAATAGTGGTTCTGTATACTGGTTTTGACTTTCTCTGGAACTTCTATTAGTGGGTCTAATTTTTAGAAATTTGTGACAACTCTAAAAGCAGAATAGAAAACAACTGTTGAGAAATATCATTAAATGTCTTTAAATTTAGTTTTCTTAACTCTGTTGTGCTCTCTGCTTCCCATTTCATGTTCCTATTAGTGTCTACTGCACATTGTGATCATTATGGTAGAAGATGTTATGTATCTGCTGATTGGGAAAATTTATTATTAAATGGAGGAGGGACTCCTTATTACCTTATAACCTCAAAGCACCATATTTTTATATTTAAATTTAATACATTTTCTTCCTTTTATTATAAGATATAATAGCCTTTGAAATGAGGTCATCCACACACAATACAGACATTTTTCTCCAGAGAAATAAATGACTGGGGGTAGGAAAAACTTTCTGTTGAGTTACAGACGGAACGATTTTTGTAAGATCAATTCTCCCAGGGAAGTAGCAGAGAAAGGATTCGTACATCCCATGGGAGAGATGTCTGACAATAACGTACAAGAACACGTTATTGTTAATATGTTGCCAAGGCTACTGGAAACAGATTTAACTGTTTAAATTACCTTCTTTTCTTTTCCAAGGTAAAGTTAGTTTCCATTGTAAAATATTTGTTACTTAAGTATAGCATTTGAAAAACAACAAATTAAACTATTTATATTTAAATCACTAAGAGAGATCCACTATTTGCCTTTTGGTGTATTTTCTTTAAATCATCTTACTTATATTCATTTATTACTCTTAAAGGATCATTATCCTATGTATATACACATTTGTAAATTACAGTGTTAAAACCATTTTTTTTCTGATTGCAAATGTGAAGGGAAAAAATCACAACAATCCTGTGACCTATGGGTATCTAATGTAAATGTTTGTTTTTCTACATTTTTTACATATCCACATATATACATACATGCATACATATGTACCCTATATGCCATTTTTCAAAGCACAGATAGCACAGCATTACTCATAAACTGTAGATAAAAATAATGTACAAAAAGGGGTAAGAGTCAGTAGCTATTCTGAATTTTCAGCTATCTCCATTAAAATTCCACATTTACCTCTTAGATCACAACTTAAGATCACAATTTTTTAAAATTAGGCTTTCCAAATCCTAAATGTTAAAACACAAATCCAAATTTTATGAGTAGCACATAAAATAAACATTTTTTCACGTAGTGTCTCTTTCTCTGTATGTGGAAATTACTCAGTTGTATTTTGTAAATGTACAAGTAAACCTATAATTGTTAAAATCTTGGAAAATACAGAAAATTATATATAAGGAAATAAAAATAATATGTCATTTTACTCTGAGATAAATGATGCTAAGATTTGATGTATTACTTTCAAAATTTTTCTAGGCATATTTATAAATATACACCATATATATTTTAACATTATACTCCATATACTGTTTCTAATTTGGTTTGTTCCCTTAACAATATATCATAAACACCTTTCCATGTACATTTATCAGTATCAAAACCGTGATATTTATGTCTACCTAGTAGTCTATTGGGGGATATTTTAAACTTTATTTAGTCTACTATTTATTTATTTATTTATTTATTTAACAGGTATTTACTGAGTACCTACTATATTCCAGGCACAGCTCCCTTTTAGAGATAGGGAACAAATGAGACATACCACCTGCCTTCATATATACC